CCCCCACCCCGCCACGTAATTCAGCCGCCAGGCACGGAGCAACACTACCCAGCGCGTCTGGCAAAGCTCCAGCGAGCGGCGCCGTGAAATAGTATTGGCAGAGACGATAGAGCGAAGCGCTGGATGGCTAACGCACCATAAATCATCAGCCGAGCCGAGTTACTGCAATTGCCTAATGGGCAGAGGACTGGTACTAAAACTCGGCGGCTACTACAACTCGGCTCGGTTCGACACGGCTGGTGATTGTTGGTGTTTGGGGATCCCTCTGTCATCTCTAGCAACGGTGTTTCGTGGCGTCGCTTACCGGGTTCGTTTGGCAGCCTGCCAGAGAAGCAGGGCAACGTTACCCAGGGCTGCAGCGGCTGTATGGCCTGGCTGGTGGGAAGACGGGGTAGTAGAGGGGCAGCCATGGTTGTGGGGGTGCGTGGAGGGGTGAGCGGCGGTTAGTGGATGTAAAAATGTCTTCTCCTCCCACCTCTTTCTTCCTAAGCATTAAATTTTCCCATTTCTCCGACCCTCTGGTAGTGAGGATTGAGAGCAGTGGGCGACCGAACTCGCCCCCGCCACTCAGTCCCCCTAAGCCGCGCCCCCTCCCCCCTGCCCTCTGGTAGCGAGGACTGAGAGTAGTGGGCGACCAAACTCGCCCCCGCCACTCAGTCCCCCTAAGCCGCACACCCCCGTTGGTAGTGAGGACTGAGAGTAGTGGGCGACCAAACTCGCCCCGCCACTCAGTCCGAGTGGACCTGATAGACTGAGTTTTGTGTCCAAAAACTGGGCTTATATACGGGAAGAATGTGGGCGTAGCCAGGGTAGGAGGTGTATAGATGACCTCAAGGGTCCAGGGTAGGAGGTGTATAGATGACCTCAAAAATATGCGCCTACCCTGGTACGTTACACATCACATATGCGTGACCTGAAAAGCCATAAAAATCCTCCCCTCCTACTTTAACTTACGCCGGCATCACATTCAAACTACCGCCGTCCGCCGTGGGGCAACCCCACCTGCTCTCCGCAAAAAAAATTTTTTACAGTTCGTGTACAAGACGAGCCGAGTCGTGTTTTAGTAGCTGCTCT